CCAAACTCACAAACGATTGAATTCTAAACGCTCTTCGAAGACAGACTGTCTAGCCGAAATTTCGCCAACGACTAGAGCCGAATTTCGCCAACGACTAGACTGTACTGGGCACCCTCAGTGAAGGTCATCCAAGAAAGGGGTAACCAGGGGTCTTCATCACCCGGCACCAGACTTTTATGGGGAAGGCAATCTACCATAATAAGCATCAAGGGTTTCTTCGCATGATTTCAGGAATACAGTTAGATTAGGTTATAGAGGGTGTCTTATTGCGAGTGAAGAAAAGCAGTAGGCCTTGACGAGGTTACCGCTGTCATTTGCAACAGAGTCCCCGTGTTTGTGTGCAGTACTTGCCCGTTTAGGGTTTAGGAGTTTAGGGCTTCCAACACTGGCACGAACTCCATACGAGTGAGCTTCCCCAGCCAGGAATACCACCGCGGGGAGACCAGCAAATGCAGGCAAGAGCACGAGACTTCGGGGCATTTGCATCGCTTTGGAATGCAGCGCAGCATTGATCTCATCAGCCGTCGTCTTCCAGCTAGGATCTTCATTGGGTCAGTGCCACACGCAAATGATGTCCCTGACGCTGAAGACGCTGCCTGCCGAAATGTATAGGCAGCCTAATTGAAAGCCAGAAGTCCCAATAATCTTATTATGGCTACGACAAGGAGCTATTCTAGGGGCCATTATGATCATGACAATTGACAACAGGGTTGCCATACGGTTGATGATATAAACCCTGCATTATGCCCCTAAGAAGGAACATACCATAATTCCCATAGTTTAAGGCCCTTTAGGGTAATGCTTAGGATATATATCCTCCAAAATGACGAAACCACTTGATCCTTCAACCATCTTTAAGATTTAGGGTTTACGGTTTAGGGTTAGCGTTTGGGGTGTAGGGTGTAGAATTTGTAAAGGGTCCTAGGTACTGTTATGGGGGATACTTTCCCAAATCCTAATACGGCTTCCTAATATAGAAACCCTACATCCTACTATATAGGTACTTTGCACCCTCGGTTAATTTATAAAGTCTTGGAGTTTGGGGCACATCATCACGGCAGCTTGGTGAGGCGCGTCGGCGCGCCGCTCGGGGAGCTTGACGCCGGCGCCAGCGCAGGGCCGGGAGCTGGTGAGGGCATGATGGTCGGGTGGTGTAGGCATTTGTAGGTATCGATTTGGGACAGGTTGCTAATTTCTCATATTGTTGATTTTAAACAGAGCCTAACTAATTATCAATAAAGATGGGGGACTGTTGAAATCGACACCTAGCACAGAACGTGCAGACTGTTGACACTTGTGCCTTCATCAGACACACGCCCAAAGCCCGGAAACCCCAAAAACTTAAAACCCTATGCACCCTAGAATCCCCAAACCCTAAACCCCAAACCCTAACTTAACTTAGAAACAAACAAAAAACCTTCAACTCAAGGCCCCTCACTCCCTCACCCCCTCCCCCCTCCCGCTAAACAGTCTCCTCGATTCGCCTGTGAGGCTCGCCGCCCACAAGGTCGAAGGAGGTGGACGAAGTGGGTTTTTTGGAGTCTTAAAGTGTGCCCTCGGGGTGTCCGTAAAATGTTGCTTTCAAGATTTCTACCAAGCCGCTGCACGAGGGTTCGGTTTGAAGGCTGCGGCTTTAACTTCAACTTGGGGCTGGCAAGGCACCTGCTTGAACACATTAGCCCCGCAGCACTGCAAAATCTGAAGCCACTTCCTCGCTCAGACAGTTTGCACCATCACATCAGAGCAGTGTATGGAGTTTAGGTAAGCAGCAATCGATACCCCTCTCAGAAAGCTGAGGAAGTGTTAGGACAAAAGCAACTCAATGTCTGCGAGGCGTCCGCGCGTACTGCACCGGCACCAGTGCCGGAGAGGGAGGTTGGGAACCCCCTCGACTTTGTCCTTCCCAAAGAGTGGGTTGTGCAGAGGAGAGGCTTTCTTAGCGCATTCGGCCGATGAAAGTTAGGGTTTAGGTTTAGGGTGTAGGGTTTCGGGGGGTTTCTCACAAGTGTGAGCAATTTGTGTCGGAGCCATCTGCATGCCAAGGGCTTCTGAACAGTACCTGCAGCATGGAAGACACTCGCCATACGGGTAGTTCTTATAAGGGTGCCGTACTTTATTGGGGACCCAAAAAGGGACCCTAATTTAGAGAACTACCCATATAAGTACAGAGTGCAGATGCCCGCGCTTCAACCTGCTGTGCTGGCTGTGATCTTTTTGAAGGTGCAGAAGCAAAGCGGTTGCGAACTCGGACAGAAGCTGTGCAGTGCCAGTCGGGAGTGGGTCTCTGCTGTTGTCATCGGCGGTTCTAAGCCCTGAAGCTGCATCCTCCTAAACCCTAAACCCTGTGGGAGGTCTCAAACCTCAGGCCTCTTCCGGGGATCCAAGCCAGATCGGAAAGGGCGGGAACCCGCCGCCCCAAAACCCTTACATCCTGAAGCCCAACTTTAAAGGGGGTTTATAGGGGTTTATAGGGTTTATGGGGGTTTATGGGGTTTATAGGGGTTTATAGGGGTTTATAGGGGTTTATAGGGTTTATAGGGTTTATGGGGGTTTATAGGGGTTTATAGGGGTGTATAGGGGTTTATAGGGGTTTATAGGGGTTTAGGGTTTAGGGTTTAGGGCCCCAATCTTCCCAGAGACCCTAAACTGATCCCGAATCCCCAAACAACACCCTGAACCCCAATAACAAAAAGTGCCCTAAGCCCCAGCCATAAAAATGCACCCCAAACTGTAATCCCCGAATGAGAGTTCAACAACAGATCCCACCAACAAGCCCTGCACCTTCAAGCCTCAGAAGAAGTAGGCGGAGAGAAGAGTCTTCCAAGATTGCCATGTGTGATTGAACTGGAGTTCCTGTTGCTGGCCTCCTATCCCTGGAGTGCTCACAACCCTAAACCCCTAAACCCTAAACCCCTAAGCCCTAAAACCCTAAGCCCTAAACCCCTAAGCCCTAAACCCCTAAACCCTAAACCCCTAAGCCCTAAACCCTGAGTGTTCGCAACGCGAACTCCTGGACCCCAGGTCTGAGAGGAGAGACTGTAACCCCCCCCCCCCACTCCTTCGTTCTGCAATGCCCAACCTTTGCACATTTTCGGGTTTTTCAAGCCCAAACCCATAAACAGAACCCAGTTGAGGTAGGCTCCTTGACTTAAACCTACCAATACCCAACCTTAGAGCTGTTTTGGATATGATATTTAGTAGCAAATTTTGAAAGCTTCACCTTCTGTTTCCCCGGCTTATTGGGGAAAACTGCTACACCATAAACCCTAAACCCTAAACCACCATACACCTGGACCCCTTAACCCTAAACTGGCCCTGAAAGCCATCTCATGGACCCCAGAGTTCAAAGCTGCAACCTTTTAGGGGTTAAGGTTTAGGGCACCTTCAACCCTGAATCTTTGAACCATAAGCCTTCAACCTTTGAGCACTAAACCGAAGACCCCTGCACACCAAAAAAACGCGAATGTAGGGGCCTAGTGATTACCAATATGGAATTCTAGTGTAACGGGCCCCAAAACCCTATTTCGAAAATTTAAGGCCCCCATGTTAAATCGTCGGAGATGAGGCCGCTGCAACTCGCCCTCAAGGCCTGCTGCCATGGCATCTGGGAAGCTGCCGGGACCTCAGCACGGTTTAGGGTTTAGGGTTTAGGATTTAGGGTTTAGGGTTTAGGGGTTGCCAGGGGGGTCATCCCAAAGAGCTTAGAGCAGGTTCCTTCAAGAGGTTCTATATTATGGGTAGTTCTCTAAATTAGGGTCCCTTTTTAGGGCCACTGTTTGGGGGACCTAAGAAGGGACCCTAATTTAGACAACCGCCCATTTGGGGATTTATGTTGGTCTATCGGGGTTTGGAGAGAGTTTGTGGTAGAGGGACTTGCCGACTTCAAACGGCGTTTTGGGGGATATTCCCTCGTAATTATATTCTAGCATCAATGCAAAGTAACCCCATTGTAGGCTTACGCTTATGTCCTTGAGGAACCCTAAAAGCAACCCTTACTGTAACCCTAAACACCCAAAGACCAAATGTATAGAGCAACCTTTTCCGCAACCTCTATCGGATCCCTAGCAGTGGACCCAAAACCTTAAACTGTAACCCCTAACCCAAATTCCCAAATTCCAATGCCCAAGAACCAAACGCTGCAGGGCAGCTTCCGCACCTTCAGGCGCGCTGCCTTTAGGGACTCGGGGATGACGATTATGGGTTTAGGGTTTAGGGGCTCCTTTGGAGTGTCTCTACTTTCTACTGTGCATGGGGTCTTGGTTGTCATCGACTCGTAGCAATGAGCAGCCTCCCAAACCCATGAACCCGAAATGCTTAAGGTCCAAAGCCCTTACAACCTTAAACCCTAAACCCTGAACCCGTGACTCCTAGCCCAAAAACTCTTAAAGCCTGAGACGCTACATCCCTCCACCCTAAAACCCTCAACCCATCTAAGCTCTGAGGCCTTCGGGTGGGGCCTGCAAATGCACACTTCTGCAAGCAGTCTTAGCCCACACCAAGATGAGGAGTTTAGGGTTGGCTGCTATATGGCCATAAGGTTGCTGTAAAAGGTTGCTTTTTCTATGATGGTTACTATGAGTTTAGGCTCCAGGGTTTAGGGTTCATGGCTTACCTCTAACCTACCTTTTGAAGGGCTTTTACAAGGGAATCAGAACAAGGAATCGAGCAAGGTAGGTTTTTCGAAAGATAGGGTGTTTGCAGACATCCTCTCGTCACGGAGAGAGCAACGGGCAATGGATTTCGGATCGAGAGCAGGGTGCTTCGGATGTGGGATCTTAGGCCCACAAGGCCCTAAAGAGGCGCCCATCGTCACCAACGTTCTTCCTTAGAGTCCCTGATTACACGCTTTCTCATAATATACACCCAAAACCCTATTCAAGGCGGATACTACCCAAACCACCAAGACCTACATCCTAAACCCTTACTCCATGGGATCTGAGAATCACATTGGTACTTACAAGCAAGAAGACCTTAGCCAAAAGGTAACAATATCCTGCGAAATGCTGCATGTTTGGAGGCCCTCCGGGGAGGAAGCGGCTAGTATTCCCATCTCCACAGTGGGTCGTGTGCATCAACTGAAGCAGCATCTGGACACGCTCCTTGGGGTCCCACGGTTCCGGCAGCGAATCTTGCACGGAAATCGGATCTTGGATGACAATGCCCGGCTGGCCTCGATTACGGATGTGCAGCTGGTGGTGAGTCACATTTCCGAGAGGGATGCCGTAAAGTTCATAAAGGCAGTGTATTGTAACTCTCATGTCTGCGTGGTGGAGATGTTGCAGAATCAGCACGATCCGAACCTGGCCGCGCGCTGGAGCTTCCTCAACAGGCACCTCACACCCCTTCAGGTGGCTGTAGAGAGAGGCCCTGTAAGTACGGTCATGTTGTTGTTGGAGGCCGGGGCGAAGGACGTATCTGACAGAGGCGACCAGGTGGCTCTTGCTGCTGCTTCGAGGGCTGGCCACAGGGAGGTAGTCTCCTTGCTCTTGGAGGCTGGTGGTGATAGGGACTGTGCTCTCAAAGCCGCTTCTTGGGCTGGCCAGGTGCAGATTGTCCGTATGTTGTTGGAACGGGGTGGTGTTTACGATCTCACAGCCCATGGATACCGTGAAAGTTTGGTAGCAGCATCGAGCACCCTGAACGAGCAGATCCTGTTACTTTGCCATTGTTGAGGGATTTAATTTAAGTTACCATAATAGGGGTCCATAATATATAGTATGGTTTCTCTATCATGGTAACTTCAATTAATGTAAATAAATCCTTTGACAAGAGCCCTAAACCCTAAGGGTCCAAGTACCTAATAATCATGTACTCTTCTGACTACGAACCTACAAAACGACTATCCGTAACCCAAGTATATGATTATTAGGTCCTTTGGACCCTTAGGGAAAGCCCAACCCTAAACCCTAAACCCTAACTAAACCCTAAACCCTAAACCCTAAACCCTAATTTTTAAGAACCCAGGTTCCTGCTGCTGCAAGCTGACAGGCCGCTCCGCTTCTTCGACTTGGGCTGGCCCCGAGCTGTCCTGGGCCCTGGGTCCTTGTCGGAGTACCATTTTTGCATTCTTTGTTATAGAAAATTAGGGTTTAGGGTTTAGGCCTAATAAGGATTAAGGGTCTAGGGCTTAGGTTTAGGGGTTAGGGTTTAGGCCTAATAAGATTAAAAAAGGATCATTTTATATATGGCCCCCAAGAGGGAACCGGCCAGGCGCGGTACTGGCGAACCCAAGAGGGATCCGGCCAGGCGGGGTACTGGCCAGATGCAAATCCTGGTTGGTTTGCAGTGTCGGAGCCTTCCTCGCTGGGTTGTGGCTCCTGTTCAAAACGAGTTGCTATGCCACTCCAACGCAGGATCAGCGAGAGCTGGAGGATAGAGAGGCCTTCGGAAGAGGTTGCACGAACTGCATGATGATGCTGGTTCTCTTTGCCATCCCGCACAAGATTCTGCGTCTGCTGCTGGTGTCGTGGGCCATGGCAGCCAGGGACATGTGCAACTGGGACAAAAACAGGCGCCAGACGCTACGAGCTTGGGTTGGAGAAAAGAGTGCTCAGACGGTTAAGGGTGCGAGGGATAGCGAGACTGAGCTCTATACAAGCATAGCCGGAACAACGGTCAGAAGCAAAGCCATGCAGAACAATGATTGTATCTGCAATTAATGCACTGTCACAGTTCATTTCAGCCACTGTGTCATCCTCCCGCGCATCTTCGTCATTTTCGTCATCGTCATCACCACTAAAACCCTTATCTTCAGCACCATCACCATCATTGTCGGCATCATGGCCATGCCCGCCATCACAAGCATTGTCACCCATGCTTGTCTGTCCGCCCACCCTGCAGGTAATGATCAGCCTCATGGTAGGGCGAACGGCGAAAGACGTAGGTCCGACGGTTAAACCATCCTAAACCCTAAACCCCGAGACCCTAAACCCAGAAACCCTACAGTAAACCCTTAAGCCTTAAACCCCATTAAAAGAAACGGTGGCACATCACAGGAAGTGTTAGCAACACTTCACAACAACGGCAGCAACAACAGCAACAACAGCAACAGCAGCAACAGCAGCAGCAGCAGCAGCAACAACAACAAAACCGAAAGCAACAGCAGCAACAACAATAGCACCACCAACAACAGCAACATCAACCCCTTCAACGTCAGCGTCAAATCAACGACCACCACCAGCACCGCCACCACCATCCCTCTCTGCCTCCACCTCCACCACCACAACCACCACCACCACCACCACCATCATCATCATCATCATCAGCATCATTATCAACATCAACAGCCGCACCAGCTCCGTGAGAAAACAGCAAGCAACAAACAAGCACAATAAATCTAGACCTTTGGTGAGTAAAACCCTCTCCCTGAGTAAGACTTTTTTCTAAGTGCAAAGAAGAGACGGTATCTTAGTCGGGGGGGGGTACCCTAAACCCTCAACACTGCCCTAAGCCCTAAATCTCTAAACCCTAAACCTCTCAACCCTCAACACTGAACCCCTAAACCCTAAACCCCCTAAAGGCCGCAGTTGCTCTGACTGCAGGCGACCTGCAGGTAAATCCCACGGGCAAAGTCTCCGCACCGGACGAGTCGAGAGCCTAGCTGCTGGCGGGTTGAGGATTGGGGTTTAGGGTTTAGGAGTGTAGGGTTTAGGGTTTAGGAGGTTTAGGGTTTAGGAGGTTTAGGGTTTAGGAGTGTAGGGTTTAGGGTTTAGGAGGTTTAGGGTTTAGGAGG